GATGTTTAAACTTTCTCTCAGCAATATTCTGTAATTTCCACTGTACACGTTTTACACTTTTGTTAAACATACTCCTTTTTAACTGCTCAATGATACTAACCTGAAATGGAACTGACTATGTACATCATATATTCTGCATTTATTAGCCTTGTCAAGTTTTTTTAATCTTCAGAGTTTCTACATAGAAGGATCACATTATCTGTGAACAGAGTGTTTTATGTTTTATTTTCTTTCCACTAACTTAATTCCAGACATATATAGGAAATGTGTTCCAGTATAGCTCCTTTCCCTTTGTACAAATACACATTCATGCACAGAGCATCTCCATGTCTTACAGACTCACCGATATAATTTCTAATTATTGTTTCACTCATGTATCTGTAACATTATTTAAGAAAGAAATATATAACTGTCTTTATAGGTAATTTTTATTTCCCTGTGAATTTAAGACACAGTTTTATGTTATTTCCTTTTATCTGAAGACTTCAACTAAGATTCATTATAAGGCCAATATTAATTATTTGAGGAAATCTTTATATCACTTTCGTATTTTGAATAATATTTTTATTCAATTTCTAAAGGTCCCCTCACCTAGTTTTTTAAAAATATATCATCCTACTGCTATCTTCCACTGTTTCTGATAAGAAGGTAACTGTTAATACTATTCTTTTTTTTCTATAAATCTTTTGTTTTGTGAGGAGCTTAGGGTAATGACCATGACACCTTAAATTTGTTTTCATTGTTAATTAGAAGTATTGTAAAGTTTCTTGGACTGTCAACAAAATTAGGGGTTGTTATAACAAAGTGGTACAATAACAAATATAGCTTATATTAAACTAGAAAAAAATTATATACATGTTACATATTAAAAGCACAGTAAAATCATAGAACAAAATTAGACCTAACATGATAAGGAGCTTTATTAATATATGACTATATGTTGGCACTTAAAAGAAAATTTAAGCAAAAGAATTAATGAAACTAGACACAGGATATGAAGTAATTCTAAGGCTGTGCAGCCCAAGAAATACCAAAATTCTTTTAATAAAGCTACAGGAACAATAGTGATAGAAATCACTAAGAGACATTAAATGTATATTTGGCAATGATTTATCATTAGAATATTTTAGATTCCTGAGTAGTATATGGCCCAGTTCTATATTAAAAGATATGGAATAGGTAATCATGAGGAAAATAAATGTTTCAGTAACAGTGTCTTAACCAAATCATAACAGCATTGTTCCTCAAAATCCATTTTAGTCCATAGCTTTAAAAGTGATAATTTTACTCATTCTGAAGAAAAGACAGAAATCCCAGGAAAAGTTAAAAGCTACTTATTTATATTTATCTGCCAAAATAATGCAAAGTTAAGAAAAATAGTAAGGTAGGCTTGTACAGCAACATCTTCAAATTAGATTAGGAGAAGCAACTCATAATGTTAAATAAACAGTACTGAAGAAATACATCTTTTTTTTTATTCTGGGGATCAAAGTCATGACCTAGCACTTGCGAGTCAGAAGAAATACATTTTTAAAAATTGTGTCAAATAAGACAAAATTAGAAACTATAAACATTATAGTTTGAGATGCCTTTAAGTTTGGATTAATAATATAAAAATAACACTCAACTATGGTAACATTCTAAGATGTACATTTGCCACAACTATGATCATTATATCATTCTACATCCAAGACTAAGATTATAAAATGGGTAAGCACTATTTCTTAAGATGAGATAATGAAGTGATTCACACATGTCAATGAAATATTTCAACCTAAATAGAACAAGTAAAGAATGTCTCTTAGAACCCATGATGAACAACTTGTAAAAATGAATTACAAAATGAACAAGGAAATGTATTCATCTTTGAGAAAAAGCAGAAAGAGGACAGGGAGCAAACCAGAAAAAAAATGTACCTTGCAGATGAAGCATTTTATTTCCAAGGTAACAGCATAAATCATAAAAATCATAAGCTAGGATGTGGGCTTAATAAAACTATAGAGAAGTACAGACTTAATAAAGCTGTAGAAAATGCTGAAGAATATAATCTGAGCAAATGGCATTTTACACACACACACACACACACACACACACACACACCAAAACAAACCTCTCAAAGTCAAATAAATGCTTCACAAAAAATGAACCACCATTCTTCAACACAAAATCTGGACATGAATTTAACATTTTAAGTATAAAATTTTATGTTTTATGTGACACTGTGGTTTCTCACAAGGAAAGAAACAGTTTTCCCCCATCCCTAGTAACATATATATTCTGTTAGTCAAAAGTTTGTATGTCAATATTAGGAGCTAAGGAAAGTTAGTTTTATGAAATAAGGATATCTGAAGAAAATTTTCAACACTTTTCAGCTATCTTAAGTTTACCCTGTCTTTTCTGCTTCATAAAACTATAGAACCACACTGCCAAGTTCTTATTTTAGCTTTGACAACTTGCTAACTCTATTAGTTGACCAAAATCACTCATACTGTCTCTGAGATTCCTCCTTTGTAAAATTTACAGAGGTTAAGATTAAATACTATGTGTTATAGTACACATATAAATATGTGTTAAATAAAAATAAAATTTAATAATATGTGTGATACCAATCCTTGTTGAGATTCTGGGTAAACAAACATCAATGGAATGGGATGATTGTTTTTTTTTAAAAAAGTACAGTATAGGAGACAAATGAATACACAATGAGTATAAAAGAGTGAAAAAGGTTGATTCATACAGATGAGCACAGTCTATTTGTGGGTACATGTCCATGTAACTTTACGGCAGGAGAAGGGGAAACAATCAGGTCAGTATTCCCGTTTAGGGGCAGAGTCAGCACAATGGTATCCTTCCTGAAATGAAGCCGGCTTAGCTAAATTTACCAGTTCTCTTGAGGAAAGAAGAGAAGGTGTTTATCTTCATACAGCTTAAAGAAGCCACACAAAGAACAAACCACACAGCACAGAAAATAAAGTGACTATCTCCTTTTGATATTAAAAAACAGGTTTATTTTACTTCTCTAGGTTTAAATGGCAGAGCCTATCAATGGCCTTTAATTCTTGGTTCCATTTTCACACAATCTAAAACTGGATTACTAGGCACCTGCTAAAAACATTGTTTAACAATGTCCACCTGACGAGGTCAAAATGAAACTTCAAAAGTATCACAACAAGCCAATCAGTGGACTAATTTAGTAATCATACACCTTTAATCTTAGCACCCTAATCGTGTATCATGAATCGACCCCATTGTCACACACTCTAAATCCAGCCTCCTCAGAAAAACCCTACCTATGATCACATGAGGCTTCAGGAAGACATTCACACTCAAGCCATAACATCAATATTTTTTTTCACTTCAGGTTTGTGTCTCAAGGTTGGGGTTAAATAAGACAGTGTTAACTATGGTTGGTCTCCAGTGAAACCTGAAATCACTACCCTAAATTTAAGTCACAAACAACTCAGAGTTTTATTTCTCTCCAATTTCAGAAGCAGATAGAAAGTGGGCTATACCTAGTTATCTAGATGTCTTTAGAGCCTCCTGCCCATTTGTTGTATTTTGTTGTTTGTTGATTTATTTTTCTTTTGGTTTGCTTATCTTTTCTTTTTCTTTTCCTTCATTGACTATTTCTTGATTATCAGTATATATTTTTAAAGTGGTAAGATTCATCAAAAGTTCCTCAGTCTCCTGTCCCATGTCTGTGTCTTCAGTTTTGTACCCTCTACATGTACCTATGTCATTCAAGAGTAAGCAGAAACGTGAAACCAATGGCCAGAAATGTGATCTTCATACTCAATTTTCTTTAGCTTGCCCAACAGCAATAGGCTAGGAGTACCTTTACAACATCAAAATGGCAAGGAAAAATAATCTATTTGAAGATTTAAACTCATAAGGATATGAAAAAGACAACAAGTATCAGTTCCTGGGGAGCAAGAAGTGTCTTTAGAGTTTGTTCACATCACAAATGGCAATTTTGATGATTCATTTAATTACATTACTTGGTGATATGTGTATGCCTATGTTCGTATATAAACATTCATATGCTTGCCTATGTGATCAATACATAACATAGAGTAGATGAATGAAAAATAGGACCAAAGTTTAAATTGTAAAAAATATAGTAAAAGACATGTTGCCATCAACTCTTATCTTTCTTGCTACTTTCTTACCAGTTATAAAAGTCCTCTTTTAGATTCTTATGAAATGTGATAAATAGCATAATGCTGAATACCACCTAACAGAAAGGCAGGCTTATAAAAAATGTTATTACAGTGTGTTCTGAACCACTTTAATCATTGGATTGGGCACCATGTGACTTCTGGCTCTTCCTCAAAGTCACGACCACGAAATGTCTGATGTTTTTAATTGAATTACAACATTAAGGCAGCCAACAGCTAAACAAAAGGCATTCACAAAAAAAGGAATTCTAGAACAACTTCAGAAAGAGGCGAGCAACAGGTAAGTAGGTGAAACAAAAAATATTTTGAAGGAGATTAATAGCAATGTGTCTTTTATTGCAATAATTTTTTTACATTTTTTAAAATTTAAATACTTGCAGTATTTTTCAATCATACTTCATTTATATAAAATGCTCCAATTTTCACCAGTTAAATTTTTGATACATCACCTAGTCACTTTTATACTAAGAATTACAAACATAAATTAGAAAAGGCTTTTTAGTGCTTTCCAAAGAGGCAATGAGTAACAAACAGTCCACTTGATTATCCTTATTAAGCAACATGCAGTGTATCTTCTTTATCATTTCTGCAGTGTTTTCAAACTGAGATCCCTACTAACATACAGGCTGCTTCAAGTTCTCATTCCTGACTGCCAGTCCAAGGCATAAGAAAGCAAAAGACAGCAACTCAGTCACATTTTGTATTTCCAAATTTTATGAAAATACTATATACTGTGAGACAACTAACTTAAAAGGCAAATGATACTTCTGGTATCTTCCTGATTCATTAAAGACAACAAAGGGTAAAAATAAAGATGCTTACCTGTTGCTCTTGCATCCTAGCAGTACCAAGTTCTGAGAGAGACATGGTGAGTTTCTCCTGCTGTTCTGACAAGTATTTCTGATAGAGACTTAGAAGTTCCTGACATTCTCTATACTGTAGCTGAAGAGGTACAATTGAAAATTAAGGGAAAAAACAACTGAAAAAATTGATTCAAACTGCATACATAAGTACTCCTTTTCAGACTCCAATAAACAAAATAGAGGTAGAAATGCAATATATGTTAAGAGAGTAGGTGAATATGAGGTCATCAGATGAAAATAGTACATGTATACCCCCTAAAATCATGAAAGAAAAGTTCACAAAGAGATTAGCAATAGTTATCCCAGTCAAGAGGTACTGCATTTGTGTTTCAATTCTTTAACTCTGAAAAAATAAAACAGATCTACACAAACACAAAGGAATTCCTACTTCAAGCCTAGAAACATAAAATGAATATAAACCATTAATCTAAATGTAAGAGTTAAAATTATTTCTCCTAGAAGAATACATAGAACTGCATGTTTGTGATCTTAGATTTGGTGACAATAACTTATAAGCATAAGCAATCAAAACACCAGGAGATCTATTGGATTTAAAATTTAAAATTCTAAGCCCCAAAGAATGCTAGTAAAAAATTAAAATGACAACCCTTAGAATGAAAGAAAATATTTGGAAATCAATATACGATAAATGACTGGCATCTAGACTATATAAAGATCTTACACAACTCAACAAAAGATTATTATCCTGATTTAAAAATGGGAAATGTAGTTTTCCCAAAAGAAAATATATAGATGACCAATAATCACTAGAAAAGATGCTAAATATAATTAATCTTTAGGGAACTAGAAATTGATAGGACAGTGAGAAAACACTTCGTATCCACTACCATGGCCAATAGTTAAAAAGACTAGTAATAGCAAATGTTTACAAAAATGTGGAAAGACTTTAACTTTGAACATAGCTAATGGAAATATAATACTCTCCTACCATTTAGGAAGATAATTTAGCAGTGCTTAAAAAAGACACAGTTGGGGGCTGGAGATTTAGCTCAGTGGCATAAGCACCTGCCTTGCAAGCAGGCAGTTGTGAGTTCAATCCCCAGTACTGATAAAAAGGAAAAAGACACAGTTACCATGCAATCCAGAAATTCTACTCCTAGGTATTTACCCAACAGAAACTTTTACTCAAAGCATCTCATACATTCATACATGCATATTTAGAGCATCACTGATAGTGAAAACGCCCCAATGTCATCCAACTTATGGAACATGGGTTGGCCATAAAAAGTAATGAAGTAGGGCTGGGGATTTAGCTCAGCGGCATAAGCGCCTGCCTTGCAAGCAGGCCGTCGTGAGTTCGATCTCTGGTACCGATAAAAAAACGAAAAAGACAAAAAAAAAAAAAAAAAAGGCGTTTAAAAAGTAATGAAGTAATGATACCAACCATGAAATACATTAAATGACAAAGACAGACCAAGAAGACAATATAATGTATAATTTTATTTATATTCAATATGCAAAACATGCAAATCCTTACAGAGAAAGTTGAGTAGTAGTTGGCAGAGATTAAGGATGAGGAAAGGAGGAGTAACCACTATGTGTAAGTTTGGGGAGAAAGGTAATGAATAAGTTCTGCAATGAGGTAGCAGTGGTGCTTATGTGTCTCTGGGAATATGCTCAAAATGCTTTAAATGTATACTTGAAAAGGGTGAGCTTTATTTTAATTTGATCTCAATAAAACTGTTGAAAAACAAATGTAAATTAAAAATAATATTGTTCTGATAAAAATAACTACTAGTTTACATAGAAAGTTCTTAACCATAATAAATATTAAGGCATTCTTGTCCTGTTTAATATCAGTTAAATCTACTCTTTATTAATAAAACCATCACCAAAGAATTTTCGGTCCATATACAGCCCCTATATTCTTTACAGTCTGGTATAAAGAGTATGGGATCTTAACTCTTCCATAGCACCTAAAACGGGAGAAATAATCAAGATGAAAATAATCAAACAACGCATGCAACCTAGTAAACTAGGCATTTGGAAGGCAGTCAAAACAAAGTTCTGCTTCTTCTCACTGTGGTAATTTCCTCCTATGGCTTCTTTTTTCCCTTCAGGTAATTTCTGGAATTTTCCTCTAACACTTACATATGCTATTGATATAAGAGTTACTGTTCAGGGCCAGGGAGGAAACTCAGATGGACAGCTCCTGCCTGCCAGACCTTGAGTTTGATTCCCAATAGAAAGAAAGAAAGAAAGAAAGAAAATAGAATTATTTTGCATACTTTTTCAAGAGTTCATCATGATTAAGAGTGGAAATGGTATTTCTTAAATATCAATAATAGTGACTGGTTTCAATATTCCTTAATATTTTAATAACCTACTCATTGCTTCTGGGCAGATTATTCCTCTAATAACTTTTATCAATCAATAACTAATTTCTTCATTATTCTCATTATCAACCTCTAACAAAAAAGGAACAAGAGGTGGGTTATAGAGGAGATACTAGTCCACAGTGAAGCTTAGGTTACTAAACCTAGAGAATAGGAAGCTTATTGAACTACTTGATGTCTTAATGACAGTAACAACAGAATGCACATTGGTCTAAATAAGCTAGTAGGTTTTCAGAGCCAATCTATGCTCCAATAGACCGGATTAACATTTCTATGCTTTTTGTTATCAAATTTCAAAATACTGCATGACTTTCCAAGTTCTCAGGAGCCTATACCCACTACTGTGTACATCAAAAGAATTTTTTATTCAGGGTGTTACCATAGGCAGTAATGTTTGTAATAGGTGAATGTATTAGATTGGTCATGGAATATAAATTTTACTCTGAAAAAAATCAAACATAACGATGCTGCCTAGGAGTTAAATGTCAACATCTGAGACAAATTGTAAGCAAATTGAATAATATGCCATGTGGTAAAGTATAAAAACAGATACTATAGTCTTATCTTCATCAACTTTTTATATCTTTCTTGATGTTATCAGATTTCAAAATGCCCCACTTTTTCTTCCTCCCTAACACAATAAAGACTTCAGCCTTTCATCTGGAGAGATTTATATTAGGAACATATAAATTGGGGAGATGTTCTCTTCACCAATTTGTAAAATGAAGAGAATACATGTTTGACTCACTCCTGGGCAAACGAGTGCAATAGGTACAAAAACCTAAAGAATGGTGTAAACCAACCATGGCATGAATATAACACACTGAGTCTGTTTAGGAACACATTTAAGGGCCAGGGGATTTAGCTCAGTGGCATAAGCACCTGCCTTGCAAGCTGGTGGTCATGAGTTTGATCCCCGGTACTGATGAAGAAAAAAAAAAAAAAAACACATTTAAGTATTTAAGAAAACAGATAAATAAGCAGCCATGCTACTCAACTTCAAAGAAAGACTACTTCATAGGAAAACAAATATAAATTAGTATTAAGCAAGATCACATCAAAACTGAAACTAGGAAAGAAAAAATTGGGAGATAAGGGAAGAAAAAAAAACTGTAAGGAAGAATCGGAGGTGGAGAGAGGAAGAGTCAGAGATAAGATACACTACTAGTAGACTGGCAAAGTAGAAACACATTATTTTAAACTAGAACTACCCCTCTGTACAGCAGAATCCCAACCCTACCACCTCATTTCACTTTGTCCTAAATATCTACGATACTTGGCCAAGGTACTTTGTGATCCTGAATTAATACAGAATCAAATGAAGGGAGGCTCTGTGAGAGGAAAAAAAGTGAATCACTAAATAAAAAATCTTTATTTTTTTTTCAGAACCAAGACTCTAGAAAATGGGTGAACCCCATTCTGGTATAGAAAAATTCCAAGTGAGCTTAAAATGTCTTATTACATTAATGCAAAAAAGTGTTCAAACACAAACAGCCCACATCACAGGAAGAGGAGCTAGCCTGCAGGGCACAACTGCATCATGAGCTATGGGGGGAAATTCCTGCACTAAAGTTAACAACTGTCTTTCACAGGAACTAGAAAGAATAAAGGAACAAGTTAAATTATATCACAAATAAATTGACAAATTTAGAATGTGGAAGAGTCTTCTTCAACAGAAATAACAACTAGCCTGAATTCTTCAAAAGGTCATTTCATAGAAAATGGAACACAACTAACCAACAAAAGACATAACTAATGTAAACCATGACTGGGTCCTGGTAAAAGTAAAGGTAGCTATAAAATATTCTTGGATAACTAGGAAAACTGCAATATCGACTTGGCAAGAGTTGGTATTGTGGAATTACTTATATCATAATGTGGTTTCTATGGTACAATGTTGTTCTTATGAGACAAATATGAAGTATTTAGGGTTAACATGAATGACACTTGCCACTTTCAAGCAGTTCAGAAATAAGCAAATGTTACATATTTTTATAAATGTAAACTTATAAGTAAATATTTATAACTACCTGAATGTGTTATATATTAAACTGATTTATACAGATTATATTAATTTATATATATATATAAATATAAACATAGAAAGAGTAAAGGACTATAATGAGGAAACAATTACTGAATCCAGGTAAAAGGTATAGCGTAGCTCTCTAGAATAATCTGTAATAATCAACATTTCTATATATTTGAAAATTATTAAGTACAAAGCTGCAAAAAAAAAAACCTTTTTAGTTTTTGTTTTCAATTTTGCTTCTATTAGTCTCGTCTGTCCTCTTACTTCTAACATAAATTATCATGGGAGAAGCAGAAACCTATATACCAGATTAGCCTCCTAAGAGCTCTCTAACAATGTATGTGCTTTTGGTCATTATGTCAGATGACAAACTGTTACTGAGTGCTCATCACACTCATGTGCTCATGACATAGTAACTAGAATCTTTCCTTTGAGCTACAAAGAGGCAAAGCAGCTTCCAAAAGCAAAGCAGCAAAAAAGTTCATGAAGGGAGTGCCAAGCTTTCTTCTAGTCATTTAACAAATGTTTTGTGAATACTGCTACATGTAGCAAGCATGCACTACACAACAGTAATGTAGAATGATTGGAAACAGACTCAGGAGTGTGGTCCAATATTACTGGGTTATATTTTCCAGTACTCAGTGATCTAGTGAGTACTAGGGCAAGAAACAGACAACTAGCTATTGGCAAAAACAAAA